GGGTGACCTTTCCCCCCAGCAAATGTCCAGAGCTGGGCGCTGTGCACGGCCCCCGCTTAGACATGTGACCGCATGTATACTTGGCGATGACAGCACATGGCCGAGGTCAAAGGTCATGAAGACTCCCCCGGGTCACATGACTCCGCTGGCAGAGTTACACACACACAGGCTGGCCTACTTCTGCATTGACAGGCAGGTTATAAATACAGTCTCCCCAACATCCTGATCACGGGGGCTGTTTTTATTTTTAGGGTGGGGTGATTTTTCAAAGTGAGACTGACCACCGCACATTGGGGGGCACCTTCTTCTCCTTAATACCAGTGTTTCTCAGTCCGGTCCTCGGGGATCTCCACACGTTTTTGCTCTCTCCCAATTCCCCGAGGGTTGGTAGAACTGGTTTGAGGGACAATGTACTGCATTACATGTAGGGGTAACTCAATGACACGTTTATTAACAGCCTGTTCATTCCGGCTCTTTGGGGACTGATTTTAAACGAGGGGTGGTGGATTATTCTGTGAAATGAGGGAGCCCCCGTCTGAGGCATGGACTAACCAGAGCTGTAACCCAGGACCCTTTTGCTGTGGGTAGGGCCCCAATGATGAGATTAGCCCAGGGGCCCCCACGCCCCCAAATTCAGTCCAGCTTACGTCCAGCTGACTCCCTTCGGCTTTTGCCCCCCTGAATATGAATCTTACAGTGCGGTCCTGCTTCGTTTGGGCCCAGTCTGTCCTTTCGTACTTCCAAAGTTGCACGTTCAGGATGGATGCCAGGTACGCCCGCAGTGGCACAACTGACCGACTATCCTGGCCCCGCTTCGCTGTGGGGGGGGGGGTCCTCGATTCACTGGGGCACTCCCACCCCATCCAGGACCATTAGCTGTTCGGTGCTGTGGCTGTACTTCGGTGTCAGGTCGTCCGCTCCACCACGAAATGCCCCCGGCGATCTCGTCTTCTCTCACCAAACAAGAAGTAACAGGAAAAGCAAACTGAACATCTTCCGGAGGCTTCCATCATCCACGGATCACTGCCGGTCCGCCCTGGACCTGGCCTAGTTATGGGAATATCCCTGGTGTGTCACATGTGGTTATTGGCCCAGCCGGTTTGGCAGTGTTTAGTTATTAGGCGAGGTCAGGCTTCTGTTTGAGTGATCGGGTTGCTCTAGTCTGGTTCTGGCTCTGCCTCGGAGCGAGTCGGTCAGACGGGCTTTGGACTGAGGGCAGCCCCCTGCGGTGCTTAGCAGGGTTTAGTAATGATAAAAGTGCCAATTATTGAAAAAAATAAGTAGCTCTTTTCTGCACCAGATCATTTCTCAGACTGCCTTTGTCTGTCCTGACCTGTCGCGCTTGTGTACAGCAATTGTTTCTAAAGCTCCAACACACACACACACACACACAAACCTCTTCTTCTCTCACACACATTGTCACTCTCCCTTTTTGTCTCCTGTCTTTAGTCCATCAGTCCCTTTTCCGTGACCACTGATCCATTACAGGCTTGCGGTGAGGAGGCTGTCCCAGGCAGCACGGGACACCAGGCAGGGGAACACCCAGGATGGGATGCCAGTCCATCACAAGCCACATACTCATTCGCACACACAGATGCACTCTGTGGGCAATTTACAGATGCCGGTTCACCTAAATGCATGTTTTCCGACGGTGGGAGGAAGGAGAGGGAAAGCCACAGAAACGCAGGAAGAACTCCGAGCTCAGGGAGCTGGGGGCAGCAGTATTAAGACTATAAATTTAAAGGTCAATCCTTTTGCCACAGTTACGGTTTATCAGTATCCTATTAACTGTAGAGTGTCATTTTTTTAGATGAAAGGCATGAATATGAGTTAGACTAGAAGAGACAGGCCTCAAAACCTCACACCACAGAATGAGGCTACAGGAGGGGGTCAGGGTGAGGACGGCGGAAGCAGTTCACACATCAGGCTGCAGGGGGCGCCATTCCGGCCTTGTTCTGTGTCACCGTGTGCCAGATCAGTGAGGTCATTGCCACCATCCAGAATGTGGCACCCGGAGAAGCGTCCTTTTGCCTGGCTGGACGTGTCCTGCACCAGAGCTTTCCTGCGTCGGCGGGAAACATGCGCGCGCGTGACTGCGAGCCGCGTGACTGCGAGCCGCCCGCGGGGCAGCGACGGTGCTAAGCGGGGCTGACAGCTTCCTGCTCCTCCTTTTTCTTGTTCCCCCATAAGCCACCCGCCGGCACCTCGTCGGCAGTGACCAGCGGCACCTCTGTAATTAACCGGGGATCTGTAAAATCGCGGGAGGAGCGGGGGGACGCCGGCTCCCTTAATGCGTCAAAGTCGAGGTTATCTGCCTGCTGGACCTCCTCCCGGACTGTCTTTCCTGTGGGTCTGTCTCCATGGAACCCAGATATGGGGGGGGGGTTCCTGTGTCACACGTATCAAAAAGCTGTTGCCTCCTGGACAGCGTTCCGATGTCCGCAGACTGGGAAAACTCCGAATCCCTGTCTCTGCAGAGAGAGGGAAAAAAATCAAATAAGAACGAACAAGCCCAGTTTGGCAGGAGTGTGCTTTCACGCCCCCCCATCAGATTCACTCCCCTAAATCTCCCGAGCCTCAAGGCAGATTATTGGGGCTCCTGTCTCCATCTCCCCAAGTCGTGTCATCCGGGCGGATTGCGGCGTCCCTGTCAGCGGGAATCTCGCTGCGTGTCTCCGCGTTCCGGATGAGATGTGCCAACCGTGGCTGTCGCTCCTGCCCGCGGATCCCGGCGAACCTCCGAAAATTCCTTGACCCTCACTAGTCCTCCAGTTACCGCCGAGACTGTTTGTCAACGTCGAATGACCTCGCCCCCCCACACCCCCCCGGAAGACAGGATTGCGTCTCCCCTGCATAATCAAAAAAGCCGGGTTTACTTATTATAGACTGAGCTAACAGGCCCGCCCACCATGGCAGCCGGGGGGGCGGAGCCACAGACAGGTCATCTGTCTCGCCACCCACCCCCCCCTCAAGACGCTGTGCCGGAAGCGACGGCATTTGACAAGCCGCTACGGCGAGCGTGTCGGAGAAATACCCTCTGCATGATAATAGGTAAAACGTACAGCAGGTTAAAACCCATGCAGGTGGCGACAATTAACTGTCATTTGCCGATTGTAATGATCCATAATTTCCCAGCTAGAGACGGCCCCCCTGTCCGCCCCCGCCAGCAAAGTTCTCTACGGCCCTGATTTGAATATTTGAATTTCTCGGCAGGGCTGCAGAGAGGCAGCTGTGGGTGCGTGTGTGGGGAGGGGGGGGGCCGCCCCGCCCATGTGCCGTTTCCCCTGCTCCTGGACCAGCCCACTTAGCCTGGCATAGACCTGGTGGGGTTTTGGTTCATTATCTTTTCTCTTCAATTTATCTTACTTCGTTATGCGATTCTTTACGTACTGCACTATTCGGTTTCTGTGTCGAGAGGATTTGGTTCTGATGGTCACATGACGCTGATGTTTTGTGGGTAGGAACAAGCAGCTGTGGATGACCCTCACATGGATGCCCCCCCCCCCACCCTATCTCTCTTTGTCTCTATGGAAAACGTACAAAGTGTCCCTCTAACTATCCCCAGGAGTCTTTATACCCGTGACCCCCCCCCCCACCCCCACCCATCTCCCCTGGTCCCTCATTTCTCCTTCAGCCAGGTGTTTACCTCCCTGAGTAATGTGGCTCCCAGCCCTTGCTCTCAAAGGCTGCCGTTTTAACGACTAACCGGCCTAATTATCTCCCCCGCACCCTGGGCCTTCGCCGGCCATCACGACACATCGCGGCGTCTCGATTGCATTTTTATTCTCTTGTTTTGACTTTGTCTGCATCAGACTTCATTAAATGGAAACGAACTATCAATGTATACTTTGTCGCTGAGAAAAACACCCCCCCACTTACTGGTCCATTTGAATAATCATATAAATATGCAGGGAAAGAATGACATTTGTTCCATCTTTGTTTGCATAAAAATAAATGTTTTCTCCGGATTTTCGATGAAACACACCATACGTGCCTTCATGGGATTCTGCTCTTTAAAAGTGCCTTTTTGTTTACCTGTTTTTTAATTGCATGGTGCAATTAGCATTCGGAGTTCCTGGCCAAACCTGTCCCTCACGGAACGCGTGACAACAGAGGGGTTGTCTCTGTCACCATGGCGACATCCACTCATCCCTGGCCATGGGGACCGGTGGGACAGGGGGAAGGGACACCCTCGCACACATGTGCTTGTGTGTGTGCCTCAATTTTACCGGAACAAAAATGTGGAACAGACTTTGTTGTAGTACAGCCAGTTTGTTTAATCCTGAAAGACCTTCATTTCCAGGCCGGATTATTATCCTGTAAATGAGCTGGTGGGAGAATCGCGTACCTTTAATGAGATTTCGGATACATTGTGCAGCAGATTCGCAGGTCGTGGCAAAAGTGCCATCGAAAGTCAATTATTGTTTTTAAACTCTGTGGAACGGGATGCTTTGTGAGATCCGTGCTGTTTGCTTTCCAGTGCTGCAAAGGCACCTGCGAATTTGATAGACTGGAATGAGGAAGCGGTATTCAGTTGTTAGGAATGGCGATTTCCTTAAAGCAAGGTGGACAGACGTGAATAGGGGGGTGACACGATGGGTACCGCACCTCCAGATGTGGCGTCTGGTCTTTCACCTCTGGGGTGTTTAGGTGGACCCCTCCCTGGGCGAGATGACGGCTGCTGGTGGTCACATGACTACAGCAAGTTTTTCTTTTTTCTTTTTGGATACTGAGGCTTTGTTATAGAAACCAGCCACTCAGCAGAAAGCTGGGGATTGAGGGGGTGTTCCCTTCAATTTCTGCTAGGGCCTGTACCCCCCTGCTGCGTCTGTTGCTCTGTTATTGAAGCATCCTTTGGCTGCCACGGGTCCTCTTTTGATTTCACCCCCAGATCAAACTAATCAATAGTGATCTGTGTTGACTTGATTCCCCTGATGTTAATTTGTACCCTTTCAAAGGAGCCTCAGGTCTGACTCTCTCTCTGTCCTTCTGACCCTCAGGTAAAGATGAGCCCAGCACCTACACCTGCACCACCTGCAAGCAGCCCTTTGGCAGTGCCTGGTTCCTGCTGCAGCATGCGCAGAACACGCACGGCTTTCGCATCTACCTGGAGAGCGAGCATGGCAGCCCGTTGACGCCGCGTGTGGCCGTGCCGCCAGCCATGGGTGCCGACTGCACCTCGCAGCCGCCGCTGCACGGCCTGCACCTGCCCGAAGGCAGCCCCTTCAACCTGCTGCGCATCCCCGGCTCGGTGTCGGGGCGCGAAGGCCCGCCCCTGCGTGAGGGCCGCTTCCCGCCAACTCCGCCCCTCTTCAGCCCGCCGCCGCGCCACCACCTGGACCACCAGCGCATGGAGCACCTGACCGCTGAGGATTTGGCCCTGGCCACCGCCCACCACCCCAGTGCCTTCGACAGGGTGCTGCGCCTCAACCCCATGCCCCTGGACCCGCCCCCCCCCATGGACTTCTCACGCAGGCTGCGGGAATTAGCTGGCAACACTTCCACGCCGCCCCTGTCGCCTGGTCGGCCCAGCCCCATGCAACGGCTGCTGCAGCCTTTTCAACCGGGTGCCAAGCCCCCCTTTATGGCCACGCCCCCTCTTCCCACCAGCCAATCCCCTTCCGGCTCGCAGTCCACCCCCAATCAGCCGGCAGGCCAGTCACAGGGCACACCCATGAAGACCAAGTCGTGTGAGTTCTGCGGCAAGTCCTTCAAGTTCCAGAGCAACTTGATTGTCCACCGGCGGAGCCACACGGGCGAGAAACCCTACAAGTGCCACCTGTGCGACCACGCCTGCACGCAGGCCAGCAAGCTGAAGCGCCACATGAAGACACACCTGCACAAGTCATCACCTGGCACCGTCAAGTCGGATGATGGTCTCTCCTCCACCAGCTCGCCGGAGCCGGGCACCAGCGACCTGGTGGGCAGCGCCAGCAGCGCCCTCAAGTCGGTGGTGGCCAAGTTCAAGAGCGAGAACGATGGTCTCGTGCCCGAGAACGGCGAGGAGGAGGACGAGGAAGAGGAGGAGGAGGAGGAAGAGGAGGAGGAGGAGGAAGAAGAGGGCGAGGAGGAAGAGCTAGAAAGCGACGGGGGTAGGAATAGCTATCACTTTGGGCTGAACCTGGAGGCGGCGCGGCATCACGAGAACAGCGGTGGGCGGCTGGTGGCAGAGGATGGCATCCCACGCTCGCTGCCAGAGGTCATGCAGGGCATGGGGCTGGCGGCCAGCATGCAGCACTACAGCGAGGCCTTCCGGCAGCACAAGCGTGGCGCCCTGGGCTCTGACGGTGAGGCGCATCGCGACATGTGCGACGACGACTCGGCACTGGAGTCCGACCGTGTGGACGAGGGCTGCGGCGCGGTCGTCAACGGACGTGGCTCCTCTCCCAGCGAGTCGGCCTCTGTCGGCCTCTCCAAGAAGCTGCTTCTGGGCAGTCCGAGCTCGCTGAGCCCCTTCTCCAAACGCATCAAGCTGGAGAAGGACTTTGACATCCCCACGCCAACCATCCCCAACACAGAGAACGTGTACTCACAGTGGCTGGCCGGCTATGCCGCCTCTCGCCAGCTCAAGGACCCCTTCCTGAACTTCGGAGACTCCCGACAATCGCCGTTCGCCTCGTCCTCGGAGCATTCCTCGGAGAACGGCAGCCTGCGCTTCTCCACGCCGCCCGGCGAGCTGGACGGGGGGCGCAGTGGCACGGGTAGCGGCGGCAGCACGCCGCACCTGGGCGGCCCCGGCAGGCCGAGCTCCAAGGACAGTCGACGCAGTGACACATGCGAGTTCTGCGGCAAGGTGTTCAAGAACTGCAGCAACCTGACAGTGCACCGGCGCAGCCACACGGGCGAGCGGCCCTACAAATGCGAGCTGTGCAACTACGCCTGCGCCCAGAGCAGCAAGCTCACCCGGCACATGAAGACACATGGGCAGGTGGGCAAGGACGTGTACAAATGTGAAATCTGTAAGATGCCTTTTAGCGTGTACAGCACTCTGGAAAAACACATGAAAAAATGGCACAGCGATCGAGCCTTGAGTAATGACATCAAGACTGAGTAGGTGAGAGCAGAGGAAACGATCTGCCCACAAAAAAAACGCTCCCCCCCTGTAGATTTCCCCCTGTCACACTTGTCCCGTGGAGAACTAAGACATCCTTGGAGCTGGTACACCCCGCCTGTTCACCGTCGAATGCATGATCTTTAGCCGGGCAATACTATTGCATTGACGCAAACTAGGAGCCTTTCTCTTGTGCAATAATTTACGTGCTTCTGTTTTTTTCTCCTTTCTTCTCCTCCCCCCTCCTTTTTTTTAAAAAAAAAGTAATTAAACAGCATGCATGGTATGTTTTTGGCTAATTTTTAAAGAGAAATTGTCCCTGGTTGGTTAGTTGTTGAGTAAATGTATCGCTGTTTTCTCGTTATGTTTTATTTAAAAAAAAAAAAATAGAAAAAAGAGAAAAAACAACAAAAACATATTGAAAACAAGGTGACCATGCTGCATCCAGTCTGTTATACATATCATGTATAGTTTTGTTTTGTAACACGGAGGAAAAACAGTCTTTTGCCTAACCCTCTGGTTTGAACCGATCTTTAAAAAAGATTTTGCGTCCTTACAGGGTTGGAAAATATTAATTGGCTTAAACGTATCGATTGTTAAAATTAAATCAGCTACGGCTTTGCAATTTTGTGAGAGAAAAAAAGTGAAACAGCAGTTATCTAAATTTGTATTATCACTTGGTAAAACAGAAAGATGTAGTGCCTTGGATCTGCCAACTGCATTGATTTAATTCCATTTCTTAGAAGAAATTTTATGGTCCTTGCATCAAGTACCTTACTGCTAGAGTCAACTGTGACTTAAGAAAAACAAACAGAATTGTAAAGCGAAGAAAATCTCTAGTTAATCATCATTTAGCTACCTATAATGTACCTATAATGACTGTTGTACTTACACGGTACATGATGTATTGTGTGGGGTTAGACCTCTATTTTATTTTTTTTCTTCGTTTTTGGTCTGGTGGCACTGATTGCTGATCCATAATCCTCCCGTCGTTTTTTTAAGCGTAGACGCTGTGAAGATGTCCCTCCCTTCGCAGCAGAAACGTGAAGACACCCGACCTCCTCCGCGTTCGACAGGAGCTGCGTTAATGACCGGGGCACCTAAAGTCCTTCAGGGCAATTCCGTTCTGACGAGCTCGATTGAAATTGATTGGAAGTGATGGAAATGTCAGGGAGAGGTGGCAGGGATCCCCTCGTTCCATCTATGGCATCATGCAGACATTTTTTATTTTTTTTTTATATATAATTTATTTTAAAGAATCCACCACTGATGATTAACAATGAATCGCCTGAAGATTGAAACTTTCAACTCATCATTCATAAAAGCACCCATATCTGAATTCTTCAAAGAACAGGCCGATGAAATAAAGAAAGTGCAAGATTTTTTAAAAATCATACACTGTGTATGTTCTTTTCGTCAAAATAAAACAAGACCTGTTTTCACGGTTCACCTACAGCATCCGCCCCAGTAAATGTTGATATAGCACTTGGCACTCAACTGTAGGCCGTACCTGGTTCTCTAATCGGCGCTACGGTGGTTGAGTATAAAATTATTGTACAAAAAAGTGCACTGTTCCGTTTTCCCAGTTTACAGGTGTCAGTTTACAGGGGAAAGAATAAAAATGTATAGCTGACTGATGGACACATCGTTTAGCGTAGACTGGGGATGAAATCAGTTTGCCAGCCCTAACTTCCCAGAATGCCGAGCGGTTTGGTATCGTGGCTGTGATCGGGCAAAGACTTCCCTGCTCGAGGAAAAAAAAAAAAGAATGAACAAAACTTGCTGCTTAAACTGCAAGAATTTTTTGTACATTTTTTAAAGTATAAATATTAAAAATGGACTTTTTTTTAAAACAACAATGACACTTCGTTATCTTTAGGGGAAACAGTATTTTAAGTTTGTCGTTGTTTCTCTTTCCTCTCTTAGTGTTGTTCAGGACTTGATCAATAAACTTGATCAAGGACTTGATAAATTTGAAAAAAATCTGAGTTTTTTTTCTTTTTGCTTTGGCTGTTCACAGCTCTTCAGGTTGACAAAACTTGCATTGGGGAAAGGTTTAAGATTATCTATAAATATATAATAGAGAATATAGGAAAATGCACACTCATGTCGATTCCTATGCTAAAATACATTTATGGTATACTTTTTCTGTATTTCTAGAATGGTATTTGAATTAAATGTTCACCTAGTGTAGGGACTATAGTATTTATATTGAGGCTCGTATTTTTAACTGTTGCTTGTTCTCTTAAAAAGGTATCGACATACCTTTTTTTGGTAGTGGAAAAAAACAAGCTGCCACGGTATATTTTTTTAATTTGGCAGGATAATATAGTGCAAATTATTTGTATGTTAAAAAAAAAAACAAACAGAAATAAAAAAAAAATTAAGCTGTGGTATTGTACAGATTAGGGGCCATGAGATGGACCCCCGCCCCCCAGAAGTCCTTTCTGAATGTCCACAGTAGCGCTAACAGGTGGCTGTACATATCTCTTTTTTTAATTTTATTTTATTAAATTCGTCCGCTGCCGCCAGTCAGTACGCAGTAACGCAAGCCGATGTCGGGTCGTCCCGTAGTGTTCCTCCGCCACCCACGTGACTACATTCCAGCATCAGAAACAGAAACGTCATATGCAGTAAATGATTACGGGGAAAGAAAAAAAAAATAAAAAAAATAAATGAATTTAGAAAAAAAAATAATCAATGTTTTTGCAGGTTTTTTTTTTTCTTTTCATTGCCAAATACTAAATGGTGCTTTATATTTAGATCGGGAAGAATTTCATATGCAAAGCATATTTAAAAACAATGTAACGAAATAATGGGGAAGCCCACTTGAGTTGATACTTTTTGTAAATGGCAATGTGGAATATTTTGTTATCTGCCTTTTCTATTCCTGTTCTGGAAGCTGTTTGTTGTAAACTGAACTTGAACGTATCTTTTACAATGGGAGTCACTATTTATTACTACTTATGTGCACTGTTCAAAACAGAGGCGCATATATTATTTTTTTTTTTTTTGGGGTATTGTTTTTGTTTCGTTTTTTATTTTTTTAAAAGAACGGCCAAAGGTCATGGCTGACCTAGCTTTTCGTTGTACATGTTTCTGGTCTCTGTTCTGTTCTGTTGAGAATGCCACTGTCTGTGTTCTCTGGCAGGTGTCTGCATAATCCTGTTCACACAACCATTTTGTCCCTTTATTGAGGAGAAAAAAAAAAACAATTAATAAAAAATTTAAAGTATATCTTGTGTTTGGCGACTCTTTTGTGTCTACTGGTGAACTGAGTTACTGAATGTCACTATTGGGTGTTAGGTGTGTGTGTGTGAGACACTAAGGCTCAGGTCTGCTGTGGCCATGGCGAATGGGGGGGTATGTTTTGCCTCGGGTGGGGGCGGTGCCTGTCTTTGTCTCATCATGATTTCCCACATTCCACCGGTCCCTGGTTCGATGCGGTTACAGCGAATGCTACCTTTATCGTACGTCCTGATGTCACCCCTGACCTCGCCCATCGCTCTCACTCTGCCCATCTGTGTCTGTTTTGCCCCGAGGCTTGGGCTCGCCGCGATCACCCTGGCCCGGCGGCGGCAGCGCTGGCGGTACTCCTTCCCGTCCCACCATCGCCGTACCCGATCCGTGGGAACGTGAAGCCGGCCTGGCGCGGGCCTGCGGGGGCAGAGCGTGCGTGTGTGGCATGCGCCCGCCACCCGGGTGTTCCGCCTCCCTCCCTCCCTGTTCCCATCAGGACACGCCCGTTGTTTTCTTCGCCAGCAGCAGCTGGCACAGTCTGAGCTGTCCTGTCTCGTCATAAATTAATCTCGCAGTAAACCTATAGGCCGTCCTGGGCTTTTTCTGGTTTACTGCGTCTCCAGAAACATTTATCTGAGAACGTATCACCTTTGCCCTCATTATAAAAATCTATATTAGCTTGACCCACTGTTCCTATAAACTTTCATAGATCCCCCCCCCCCAACCATGAATTGTGTCTCTGGAGAATATTATACTCAGGTTTGTGTAAAAATTCCATTTTTTTCCAGTTTTTCTTTCCCCCAAATCTCAGGCCTGGAGTGTCGTGCCGGCCTGATGGATCCTGCATATTAAAGAGCAGGCGTTAGAGGAGCAGGAGGCGTTTAAGGAAGAGGACAGAAGGTTGTTGGTTCACGTCCCCGGAGGGGCTCAGCTGCCATCTTGCCCTGAAGTGCTTCACATACCTTGAATTCCTCCACTCATATAAACGCTCTAGGTTCTGAGTTGTTTTGGCATTAGCACAAACTAAATAATAACTAGTAACAAAAATATTGTTTCCTGCAATGGGTTGGTGCCTCGTCCTGGATGATTCCCTGCCTCTGGACCTCCGTGCGCCTGTCTAAGAAAAGTGTGTATAAAAGATGGAACAGTGTTGTGCACTGGCTATCACTGCAGCCTCTCATCCCCAAAGTTGGGGGTTTAAATCCTAACCCCCAGCTCCGTGTGTGCATGAGAAAGTTCTCCTTCGCTTTGTGTGACGTTCTTCCAGGTGCTCCAGTTTCCTCATAGGCTCCAAAAAATATGTAGCTAGATGGATGAGTTACCCTAAATTCTTGCAATATGTGGTAATGTGTGAGTGACCGGCATCCTGTTCACCATGTCCCCTGCCTTGTGCCCCTATGATGCCTAGGAGAGGCTCTTCACTCCGACTTTGCACTGAATAAGCAGTTACAGAAGATGGATGGAGCAATATTATAAAATGAAAGTAGAATAATAATACAATTGTATATTTTGTAGGTGCCTTATTTAGTACCAGGTTACTTTGCCACTATGCTTAGAGACTCAGAATTACCTGCGCCCCCCCCCCCAAACATCAGCTGTGTGATTCCCCATGGCCCAGCTCAGAGCGCAGGCTCCAATAACAGGCCCAGAGGTGTGTCGCACGAGCTGTGTCAGCAGCTAACGCTGACGACTCCAGCGGGAACTCTGAATCTGATGACCAGGCGTACCCAGCCTGGGTTCTTGAGGTCTGGAATCCTGAAGGCCCTTTTTCAAATATGCGTTAGCACCTGTGCAGCACCTGGTGAGGTGAATTTACGGTGTAAACGATCACTTCGCTGAGGTAATTAATGGCTGGGTACGTGCAAAAAGGTGCCCTTAATGTTTGGGACAGGATGCCATTGGCTGCGGTAGACAACTCCCTAAATGTCACTGTGGACTTGTATACTATGTCGATGGCAGGAAGTGATGTCAAGAGGAAGCTCTCTTCTCATTGGATGCCACTGAGCACATGACAAGCATAGTCCTGAAATGTCATGAGCCATAGACATATGATTAAAAGACCCCAGGAACTGTCTAGAGCGACCAACCTCAGCTGTCTAGTTGGAAAGATTTGCTTTGCTCTTTCCTCAGCAGCAGGGCAAGAAATAGATATCAGGAGGGGTCCTTTGGGTTTAATGATTGGATTAGTGTAGGATGATTAATCACAGCTGGTGATAAAAAAGAAAAAGGAAGTGCAGGAAGGTGTATTAAATCTAAGCACTTTAATAAACAAATTAATTGATCCCAGGTGAGCACTTTTGGGGGAGTAGATCTCTTCAGCATTTAAAAACATTTTATCGGGCAGGTGGGGGGCACACTTAGTGCTACAGGACCTCCACAGCATCCCATTTAACTAAGCTAACGACTTCGCAAGCCGATAAACGTCACGTGGGAAGCTCTGTCCTCCACAAGTGCCGTAAGCTGCCTCTTCACGAAGCGAACCTGCGGCCAATGGGACAAGGCCGGCAGGAAGTGAGGTCGTAAAAAGGGGCCAGGGTACGTCTGTGGCACTCTGTGCGTGCCTGAGCAACGGAAAGGGGTGGAAGTTCACCGGAGCTTATCTGTGCCTCCAACCTTGCCTGGTCATCTGCATAACTCATAAATCCCTCGGCGTCCTTCCCCGCTGTCTCCCCGAAGGGTGGCACGACCGCTTGCTGTCCGCTGAGCAAGGAGAGGTCAAAGTCTATAGATAGACAAAGCGGCCGGCATTCAAGGTGTGGACAGCCGAGATAAAGTCGAAGGGCAGGGTGGTGGAGCAGGGGGGAGGTCACCGTGGTTTTGAGTATAAAGGTCAGTGAGTTGGGCTGGAAATGAGAAGAAGCTCCCCCGGCCCCTCCCCTAACCCAAACAGCTGAAACATGCAGTAGAGATGACACTACAAACACTTGTGCGTGTAGCCAGTTACGCCAATGCCCGCTCGTTCCAGCTAGTCGTCGCTCGCCACGTGAGGCTCACTCTCACACGCGTCAATAGTCCGATACTCCTCACCTAGTTGACTTTCTTCTTCTTTTTTCAGAACAGGAAGTGAGGTAAGAGCAGGAAGGTAGTTGGGAGACATGTGGCCTGATGAGGACCGAGTCTTGAATGGCCAGGACCATCGGCAGGCCGTCTCCGTGTTTCTCTCACGCCAAAGCTACACATTCTGAAACAGACCTTGCCAGTCCCTTGCGACTGGTTCCCATTGTGTTTTCCTGCAGCTGTTTGCTAAGCTAACATTTTCTTTTTTAGCCCCATTCGCTAAACTTCTGGTGCTTCTGGTCCTCTGTAACCTTGAGGGGTAGCGCACTCATCGGCTCCACTCCCTGGTTGCTTGGAGAGTGCAGAGTGTGTGTGTGTGTGTGTGTGTGTGTGTGTAACAGGGTGTGGCCGATGGGCCCCAAATTCCCGCGGCGCACCTGCATGGCAGCATGGGGCCAGGGAGACAGCGGCTAATCTGCTGAGGGGAGAGCCAGGTGCTCTGCTTCCTGGGCTTTGACGTTTGGGGGGGGGGGGGGGGGGGGGGGGGGGGGGGGGAGGTGCAGGTCTGCTAAGGTTAATTGCAGCTGCAGTGACGAAAAGGCCGGGTCACCTTCGAAAGCTGAAAAGGAGAGGTAATCATGGGGGACGGCTGAAGCTAAGCTGGCGTGTTTCCGGGACGGCTGTTAATCGAGGAGGGGGAAGGTGGGGTCTGGGGGAGTGGCGGGGTCTAGGGGCATAGGGGGCCCTGCCACGGATCAGCATCTGTGTTATGTCTGCTACTCTGTGTTTTGTGTTAACGTGACCCCGTGACCTCTGTCTGCGGGGTTCGGGCTGTGGTTAGAGGCACACAGGCGCACACACACACACACACACACACACACACACAACACACACCTACCATCAAACATCTAAAGACACACCTGTCTCAGGAGCGCATGTGTACGCACACTCTCACCTTCGCGTTTAAAACGGCATCTCATGATTGGTCTTGGAAAAAAAAGGGGTCAAAATTGCAAACAAATGTGTTCGGAGGATTTCAAATTTTTTTTTGCCTAGTTGCACCTCGTACCACATCATGCAGTGGTACGGACACACACACACACACACACACACACACGCATGTGCACACGCACAGTCCACATATTCATATCTTCCACATATTCATTTCTAAGGGAATAACCCTAATCCCAACCATGATAACCTTAACCCCTACTTATCCCTAACCCTAACCTTAACCCTAACCCTAACCCTAATCCCAACCATGATAACCTTAACCCCTACTTATCCCTAACCCTAACCTTAAGTGAACAAGCAAAATATAAGACCTTTGGTATTTTTAGTTTTTTGATTGCAGCCACAGATTTTTATAACATTGAGTTTCCCCCTATGGGGGCTGAAAAAATGTCCCCACAGTGTCAAAATAACACACACACACACCAAGGATGCAGCCTCACAAACAAAGCCTCCAGACTCTGCCCCCGCCGCCCTGTCTAATGCGGTCGGGTAGGGGTCAGAGGTCGGCTTTCTCAGGCCTACAGATTAGGTTTCATGTGACTGAGCACCTTTGTCTGCTGGGCCTGGTGGACAGGAAGTCTCAGGGAGGCTCGACCGTCTGCAGCCACCAGAAGGATCAGAGCCCCCACATCCAGCGCCTCTCCATTGAATATGTCTGGGGCGGGGTAGGGGGGGTCAGTCAGTTAGCGGGAGGTCCAAACAGAAGATTTAGGCCAGTGTGATCCGTCGTCTAGCCAGGCGACGCTCCCCATTGAAGGGGCCTGAAGAGCAGATTTTCAAAACGTACTCAGACCATTTTTTGTTGTTTTTTTTTTTTTTTTTTTTTTTTTAATGAAACCACCAATGACCTTCAGCCAAGCCTCCTCTTCACATGTTACTGTATCATGAACCAAATCTCACTCAGTCCTCATATGACCCAATGAAGAACTTTCATTAAATATCCAAAACACGCACAATTTTTTTCAAAAACATTTCCCATGGAATTA